TGTCACAGTCAGATTATAAGCTTTTGTAACATCTAATAATTTTTATGACTACTTCCACCTTCTTGGATGTTTATGTTTATGTCTCCTACTGAAATTATATATATTGGTCTTTCTGAATTAGTTTCTCCAGAATATCTATTAGATGGATAAGAAATTCGTTTATTCCACCACTTGGTGATCTATATAATGCAATGATTGTTATTTTTTTCTTTTCACATGTTAGTTCTATACCAGTAACCCCAAAAGTTTTGTCTATACTTTTTTCTGTAACCCATTTCTGAGGTTTATGTTGTTGTACGTTCCTAGAACTGTAAATAGTTATCCCACCCCATTTTTGATCTTTTCTGCTGAAGTTTGAGGCTACAGTATATCCTAATATACTGTGGGAACATCCCACATACTATCACGCTGTTTTGCCGATCAAGGGACAACACTCACGCCTAAGTAAATGGCACATTGCTGTCAGCTCTCATATTTATACAGCACCCGCTGTCCAGCTCACTTTTCACCATCATGAGCACCAACCAATCACATTGCTGCCACCACTCATATTTATATAGCACTCGATGCCCAGCTCACTCATAATCATTACACGTGCTAGCCAATCAGTGCTCACAATAGCAACTACAAATCTAAGCTCCGCCCACCAAGATTGGTATAAAAGACAGAGCTCCAACCCAGCAATCATCACTGACCACATCAGCCAGTCAGCCATCACACTTAGTCCAGAGCGATTGGTCTTCGGAGTAATCGGCTCTTCACTGCGTCAGGGACGGCTGCCTTGGCTCTCCAGCGGTCATGCCCAACACACCGGGCAACTGGCTCATCTGCCACCACTCCAGCGACCGTGCTCCGTGACCAGACGTCTTCCAGCAATCACGCTCTGCAACCAGGCAACGTCTGGCAACTGCCGCACTGTGACCAGACAACTAACTCAGCTGCTGCAACATTAGCCAACACACCATAGCCAACATCTGTTTCTACCAGTGCATGCAGCCATCACTGGCCAGACAGACCAGCCGAACGGCCATGAAACTATCTACCGCGGTAGAACAAATGGCCCCTTTCAGGGCCCACAAACTTTCTGGGGTGGTTGTCTGTTGGAGTATCGACAATCCCACAATACATTGAGCAATTTCATCATCTTTAACACAATGTTCAGGAATTGCCAATATATCTGGGGTGGTACTTTGAAGGAATGCTGTGAATAGTTCAGTTTTATTGCTGAGATGTATTATTTTTAGTTTTTGTCTTGAATTGGTTTCTATATTTTGTAATGACTGGAGCCTTATGGATCCAGTCTCCTTTATTAGTTTCCCTGGTTTGAGTTGCTCAGAGCTATTACATTTAAGTATTTTTTTTTGTTTTACCTATTATTTTACTTATTTCTTGAGATATATGCTCTTTGCCTATTTTGTTTAGGTGCTGTCCATGCCTTGTATGACAGGTTGATAATCTTCAGTTAGTGGTGTATTAGTCAAGTAATCAGTTAAGCTATTTTCCATCATTTTTGTAGGAGTACAAACCGTGATATATTGAGTGATTGGTTCCCCAGTGTAGTCAGCTTTTTTGTGTAGGATTAAGAGAGTAAGCAGATTGTTATAGAATAACTGGTAATTGCCTGTTGATTTGTGTAAAATGCTGTGTTCTGTAAGATTTATATAGGTTATAACATAACATAACATAACATAGCTACATGGTTTCACAGATCCATTGTCCGGAAACCGGACTGGATATTGAACTCGTCACATCCAAACTGACATTGCAATGTGCAACCTGGTCTAGACAATAAAATATTCAACAATTATAACATTGATAGGTACAACAGTATAAAAATCAGTCATCTTACAATTCTTTGCTAGAACATAGTCTTAGAAAACAGACTGTAACAGTGCATAAAATTACCTACTTGCCATATATTCACCTACCGAGTAAAATGCTTTTGAAGCCAGAAAATCCTTTAGTCTTTGTTTAAAAATATTAATATTGTCTTTCAAGATATATATGTTTTGTGGCAGGTTGTTAAATATTCTAATAGATGTAAAATGCACACCCTTCTGAATGGAAGATAATCTCACAGAAGAAACATGTAGCCTATTGTGCCATCTGGTACTTATTTGATGTATGTTATCGTTTGCTTGGTACATATTATAATTTTTAATTACAAACAATATCATAGTATATATATATAAGCAGGGGACTGTAAGTATACCCAATTTCTTAAAGCCTTCCCTACATGAATCTCTAGGACCCAGCCTTAACAAAACTCTTATTGCTCTTTTTTGGGCCACAAATATGCTTTTCATTGATGAAGATGAGCCCCAGAAAATAATTCCGTAATTGAGTTGAGCCTGAACATGGGAAAAATAGACGATACGTAAAACTTGTCCATTCACAATGGGTTGCAATTTTCTAAGCATGTAAATTGCAATGCATAATTTTTTTATTAAACTAATCGAATATTGTTTCCAATTGAGATGAGAGTCAAGGCACATACCCAGGAACTTAACATTTTCATCAATATTAAGATTTTGATCATTATATTCTATATGTAGTGGATAGTCTAAAGCCTTAGGAGTGGCAAATTTAATTACATGCGTTTTGTACAGATTAAATACTAGTTGGTTATTTTGAAACCATTCATGGATACGATTCATTATTAGATTTATTTTTTGATTCAATGTGGTAATATCTTTTGAAGAAACAATAATAGTGGTATCATCAGCGTAAAGAATGATATGAGCTAGACCTTTTAGGATACTAGGAAAGTCATTGATGTAGACATTAAACAGTAATGGACCCAATACTGAGCCCTGGGGAACACCATGCCTGCTAGTTAACCATCTGGAAACAGAAGTGTTAAGGTTTTGAGTCTGTAATAGAGTTCTCTGCTTCCTGTTAAATAAGTATGATTCAAACCATTTCAACATGGATCCTCTAATTCCATAGTGTTCCAACTTTTGAATTAACAAGTCATGGTTAACGCAATCAAATGCCCTTGTAAGGTCACAAAAAATACCTACTACCAGTTCCTTATTATTCCATGCTTTATATATTGAGTTTGTTAAGTTAAAAATTGCATTTTGTGTCGATGCACCATTTCTAAATCCATATTGCTCATCAACAATAATATTATTATTTGTCAACTGTTGTTTTAACCTATTAAAGACTAATATTTCAAATAATTTGGAAAATCCTGTCAACAGAGAAATAGGCCTATAGTTAGATATTTCGGATGCATCACCCTTTTTAAAACATGGTATGATGTTGGCATATTTTAGCCGATCTGGGTATATTCCAGTATATAAGGATAAGTTATAGATATAGGTGAGTGGTTTAGCTATCTGCTCACCGCATAACTTGATAATTTTATTGGACAGCCCATCGTATCCACAGGAAGTCTTATTCTTTAAAGAAGAGATTGTGCTTAAGACTTCTGCTAAGGTAATTGGAATATTAGCTATTTCAGGAATCTTATCAAGCAGGCTCTTTCTAATTATAGGATGTACACCTTCATATATAGGATACTGGCTAATTAGCTTTTCCACAAATATACAAATATAACCTGAAAACATAAAACTTGGAATATACAGAACTATAATTTTGCATGAGGTTTTGTTGAAGTGTGAAATGTGGTCTCTGACATTAATGGAGGAACATAGACTGGGGGTGTTTGAGATCATGGTGCTGAGGAGAATATTTGGACTGAAGAGAGATGAAGTGACAGGAGGTTGGAGAAACCTGTATAATGAGGAGCTGCATAACTTGTACTGTTCTCCAAGTATAATTAGAATAATCAAGTCAAGGAGGATGGATGGACAGGGCATTTAGCACGAATGGCAGTGAGGAGGAATGCATGATATTGGTGGGAAAGCCGGAAGGAAGGAGACCACTGGGAAGACCAAGACTTAGGTCTGTGGACAATATTAAATTGGATCATAGACAGGACGGGATGGTATGGATTGGATTTATCTGGCTCAGGATAGGGAACAGTGGAGGGCTCTTGTGAGCATGATAATAAACTTTTGGGTTCCATAAAATGCTGGGAACTTCTTGAGTAGCTGCACAGTTATCGACTTACTCTGTGAGTGAGTAAGTATACAGATATTGCATCAAATGAGAAGTGACAAGATAATTGTTAATGGGTGTTAAAAAGGACCCAGGAGGAAGCAGTTGTGGCAGTATCTCAGCATTTGGCCAGAGGGACTTTGCCAGATATTATGTTTTCTTGTCTCAGTTCAGGATTTGTATATTATAGTAATGTCAGCTTCTGTAAAATCTTTGCCAAGAATGTTTTTATATAAACGAAGAAGTTGTTAAAATTTCAACCGTGACAGTCTGAGGATAGTGACACTTTGAGCCAGTTCAGATGATTTCACTGTCAGTGTGCTTCACAGATTTGCAAGTTTTTAAGTTCTGTTAGATTCTTTTACTGGCTAAGTTTTGGAATAAAAATCAAATCCTAGGAGACTGTATCATAAAGAGTACAGTGTTCTGGTTTGAAATCTTATGTAGGATGGAAAGAGCCTGAATTGTTGGAGGAGCGTTTGGTTCCATCTTTAGGGTCAAAGAGTAAGCCAAGCAAGGCAGTAAGCACTCAGCTCTGTCTGCTTGGCATACTCTTTGACCATGAAAATGGAGACAGTATATATTCCCCCAAAACATCAGTGTATGTCTACTTGACTACACAGTGTCACATCCCAGAAGATGATGCTCTTTAAACCCATTTTAGTTTCTTGTTTATGAGTACACAAGAGACTCATGCAGGATGTAACTAATGTTTAGTAGTTATTTTACCATTGTACAGCACATACATTTGATAAAAACAAAAGGTGAAAATTTGATATGTGGTTCACATTTGCTTGAATTTAATGCAAGAAATCTAATATGTGGATTTTATTCCACAACTTAATTTATTGCAAATAATGTGAAACTAAGGGACTGAAATATCTCATTATGTCCATACACATACTTTTATATGTTTATATTGCTATTGACAGGAAAGTTCATTATCACACAAATCTTCCATAATGATGAAGGTGGATGTGCCTGAGGAAGAAACAGCCAGTTGTAAGAACGAAGGGAACAAAGCACGCTGCTCTACAGTCACCCACTCTTTGTCATCCACAAAACCCATATTTGGAGGCAGTGGCAAACTAGGTATTTAAAAAATATTAAATCAGTATACAGACCTTAGACACTTTGCAAACTACTTTACAAATGTGAATGCAGTGAAACGACATGTAGAACATCTCTAGAAGAGAAGACTTTCTTTGTCATGAATAGTGTGTGATCACTGATCATGTTACCACATCCAAAAGTTCTATCCCTGAATCCTAGAGTGTGATTCTTATGGTTCTTATGTACAACGTGAACACTTATTTTTGTCCTGTGAATTCGCAGCTGGTAGATGGGAATAAATTTACAGCAAAGTACCTCCATTAAGTACCAATTCAGAAAGTGTCATTTTGCATGACTATATATCCTGCCTGAGACTGAAAGTTTTTCATTTACCCCTCTAGAAAATATTCTGCTTGTTGTCCCAGAGTCAATCCCCGTGTTGACTTAACGAATGTTTGGGTTGGTATGCAGATTGCATCACTACTGATAGCTAATATCCATTTTTATTACATAATGATGACGTATGAATGGTATAGCTAGGAATGTGAAGTATGTTAGAACTGTATCCACAAATTTTATATTAAATGCTGTGCTGCCTGACAAACCATTTCTTCATAATTAGCTATCAACTCTATGGATAAGAAATGTTTTTCCTTTTGTAGAAACCAAAGGCTAATTTCCATATTCACATTTAAATATTTAATTCAGCCCACACCCTCAAAATCTGTTTCTCTGAGATAGTGTGACACAAAAGCCAGAAGAGACAACCATTGCTAGGCAAAGGTGCAGTAAACACCTTTCTGTGAGAACAGTTACTAACACCACAATAGAAGAACTGTGGGAAACATCATTTTCTATGCAGTTCATACCAAGGCTATGTAGACAGGGCAAATGAGGCAAGCTGCTAGCAGTGGACAGGAGTTCTGAAGGCTCCCAGAGCCATCAGACAGTAAAATACGGTCATGAGTCTCAACAGGATCCAAAACCAAGATTGATTATGCTGGCGAGGACCAGGAACAATATGTCTGACTGAGTTGCTGTCATGAGTTGTTAGAGGGTCACCAGCAGACAATGATGTGAGCACGGAAGCAAAGTAATATTCATTGTTAGGAGCCGATACCAAGCAATGCCCAGTGAAGACCTAGAAAAATTTATTTGTGTCGACAGAGATCTTTGGCATGTGTAAATCAGTGAGACTGGTATAATGTTTTGTATTTACGAGTTATAAGTGTTCAGTAAATTCAGTTACAAATTGAAATCCTGTATCTAGTTACTAGCACATGACAGTATGTTTTAATATTTCGTGCCATCTTTTCTTGGGTCTCCCAAGTACAGGGCTATTGTAAATGATTTGGATGATAAATCAGCGTATTTTCACGATGGTTATAAATACAAACATAAAACAGCAAGGAAACTTGTTAAGTTTTGGTTGTCAGTATTGTTTGTCATACATCAGCTGTTTGTGGCACTCCAATCACTATCAAAGGAAAATGGCGTCTCAAGTGCAGAAGGCTTAGATAGGACAAGCAGGACTCATTCCTTGGTCTACTAGACCCCTGGACCTTCATGCAGTTTCTTCATATAGGGATATGTGACAGTTCCTTCAAGAAAGAATTTAACAGACCATAGTGAATGTAAGTGAATCACAGTTGCATCACATTGATGTATGCAGAGTAATTAATGGAGCAAGAATTGAACACTTCTAGATAAAATTCATGCGTTTCCAAGATATCTTCAGGTTGTTTCATGTATGTATCTGTAACTGTTTAAAAAATGCTCTAATTTATTATCATCCAAATAATTTATAGTAGCCCAGTATTCCCCCTCAGGTTTTCAAAGCAAGATTTTATATACATTTTTCATCTTTCCATGTGTGCTACAGGTTTCACTCTTCTTATCCTCCTTGACTTGGTGATCCTGATTAATTTTTTGAGTTAGTCTTTTTATCCATATTATTTTATGATTTCTCTGTCCCAAATATACAGGCTGTTTTATTATCGTTTAACTATGTTTTTGTTGCTGTTAGATCACTGTGCAGTCTTGACATATCTTGAAATTTATTTAATCTTATACAAAGTTTGGTGAGTGATGATTTGGTACTTCCACCAGACTAACTGGTGTTACATCCCAGAAGATAGTACTCTTCATAGGCTCTGTGCGCTCTGCCTACTCATTGCTAGTTTCTTGCATAACTTACCCTTTGACCCCAAATATGGAGTCAGTATGTTGTTCTGAAACACACTAGAAGATAGTACTCTCCATGTCTCCAGAAATGGTATATTTGAAGATTTATTTTCATTTTTTCTTTGGGGAAACCACTATGTGGTCAGCAGAGCTCTTAAAGTTTAATTTGGACCTGTTGGGTGCATTTTTTATTTTATTTCATTCTCTCAAATTTATTTTGTGTTTAACCTTTTATGAGGTAGCTCTTTCTGAGGGATCCAAATGAATAGGTGTTTTTCCCCCACTCACCCGAGGACGGAAACAGATCCAGTTTCCAAAATGTCACATTTTCTATTTTCTAGAATACCAGATGGTGGAAAAAGTCCAAAAACTCAGCAATTCTTTGGGTTTTTATTCTGTATTCAGTTACAAAAATTGCAGAAACATGGTTTTGAAAATAAAACATATTACATTTAGTGTATCAACTTTTATTTGTTTTTACTTTTGTATATGTTCTTGTTGAGTGTGATGTGTAATGAAATTGAGTGCACTGGAGTTCCAGGATATTGTGGAAACAAATAGAAATACATAAGTTTAAAGGGATTACTTTGAAGTAAAGTGATTTTCACAATTGAGTGCAGCATGGTTAGACCTTTGGATTATTGTTTCTGTTTAATTACCCATGCCACTTTTCTCCTCCAGCACCATGAATAGTCAGTTACTGTATCATTTGTTTTTCAAAAGTTGCTTTCATTGTAATTATATGTTCTGAAATCACAAAACCTAAAATTTCATTGACAGAAAAGCCTTATGAAAGGATAGGCACTACTTTCTGTCCCCATGGTAACATGATACCTTATATCATATATCGGATATTTTCAAAAAATTAAGATGCATTGGGAACCACTTCAGTGTTAGGACCATTTTCAAAACTAAACATACACTCTGTGGGAGACCAATGGAAACTGACCGGTTAGAGATGTCGAGCAGATGAAGCAATGCATGTACAGTATTCCATGCATTATGACACATGTTACGTCGATGAAATAAGCAGGCCTCTAGAAGTATGCATATACAACCTGATACAAAATCTGCTCAAAAATCAAAATTAACCCAACATGCATGTAAAGAAGGCCCACAAAATATGTTGGAAAGAACCAAAGGTCTTGCACATTATACCAAACACCACCTACAGGAAATGCATGTGTCTGATAGGCCATCCAATCAGTCAGCTCAACTTGTAAATCTCTCCTGTCATTAAAGTGGATGTCAGAAAAGTACAGCTCCAGCCAATATATATTTTATTTGAAAGTTACATTTTTATTTTGGTACTTTGCAGATGCCTCATTTAGGTATTGTTTTTATTTTCTATGGGATCCTATTTGGTAGTTAGAAATTCTTATCTGCTTGAATTTTAATTCTCTGTGCTTGAGATANAGAGGCTGTTCTTGCAGCATCTGTTCTCCGGCCGTTACAACCGCTCCCTTCTTAAGACCAACTCGTCTCGAGCGGTTTCCTTTCAGCTCGCCAGAAGATGCAGTTGTGTCCCATTCATCCATCACTTCCATTCTATGGTACATTCACTCTCTCTGGGGAGGCCGGTTCTTCTATTTTACCGGCTCCTCTTCTGTGCCCTGCGTCTTTTTTCGTTTTGGAGGGGGTCGACCCCTCCACAGTGTCCAGATTTTACTTCTCTGTAATGGGACAGGTGTGAAAATTCGCTTTGCAATTTCCAATCCCTTTGTCCTCCTGTGGGTCTTGTTAAATTCCCACCTGCTTCCAAGCCGTAGCTGGTCCTCGAAGTCTCGATTCTTGGTTTCCTTGGTGCCTTCCGGGCGCACCAGTTGTTTCCATCTGGGAGTCCATCCTTTCTGGATTTCTCTCGTATAATTGTTTCTGGTCCACTTCTTCTGCTGTCCCTGCTCGGCTGGCGGTCCTTCTTTCCGCTGGCATCCGAAGGTTCCCTGGGGACTTTCCTTCTTGAAGTCATTTCTCCAACGTCGTGCCACTGTCGCGCGACGGTATATCTTCCTACAGGTGGCAGCCAACTTTATCTGGGACACATGATCTCCTCGGGTCCACGACTTCCTGAGGATGTTCCTCAGACGCCATGCCACTGTTGCATGGTGGGACACCTTCCTGTGTACGACGGCCAATTTATTCTGGGATCCGCAATTTTCCCATGTCGGATTCTTCTTATTTTGTCGCTGATGTCGGTCCCTGCGCCTTTTCTTCTTCGGTTCTCTGACCGGCATTACTTTGGCGTCTTGTACGGGTACCTCTCGTAGTTCTTCCGCTTCAGGTGTCATGTCCACTGAGGCTGGCTCTTCTACTTCTAGCCGTGCCTCCATCTCTTGGTAGGCTATCGTCTCTTCCTCTATCTCTGGTTTAAATCGGACACCATCTCCATGTGGCTGGTGCGCATATTTTCTCGGATGGCGGCCATCCTTGCTTGGATGGCTCTCGTTTCTGCTCGGAAGGCTTCTCTTTCTGCGGCCATTTCTTCTCGCCAGGCTTTCGAGTCGGCCCTCATTTCTTTCAGCATTTCAAGTATTAGCTGAATGTTTTGCTGCTCCATTTTCTTTCTTTTTTTTTTTCATAAATTCAATACTTCTTCCTAAATGAAGGCGTGTTTAAGCTCGTAAACCCCACTTCTGACACCAAATTGTCACGTGTTGGGTGTATAATGCGACAAATAACTTCACGCTGTCTTACGTCACCGCGCATTGCGCGTTACGATACCGTGCGGAGGGGGATGACGGAGCGCTGACTCACCCGCCGCATCACTGCTGGTGGGGGGGTTCTCTGTTGTGCAACATGTCACAATATATATATAAAACTGTCTTATCCCTGATTTTGATAGCTGAAAGACAGTGACCTGTAATTGATTTTATAATATTTTAGAATTTGACTCTTTAGTGTTGGCTTCTATTTTGATAATACTCAGATTTTATGGGCTTTGCTCTTTGAATTGTGAATGGCCATAGGTGCAAGGCCTCATGTATGTGGAGTTTTGTAATGTTTTTCATAACTCTTGCTGAAGGTTTATGTTGGTTCTAGTGTCCAGAGACAGGGACTAACTCTGTCAATTAAGGCTAGCGAGTATGCTTTTACCCAAGGATAGAGACAGAGTGCAGTCTCCGAAAAATGTCCAAAAATCATTAATTACAAGATAGAGACTGTTTATTATCTAATAGTATTTATGATTACTTATTAACACAGTTAATGTTCATTAGGTTCATCTGTTTCAGCCGCATCTCGCCTGAGCAATGTTGTCTTTGGTAGCAACCCATTTGCTGTGAAACCAGCAACATTTGGAAGTGTGTCGAACTTCAGTTGTGCTACCTCATCACAAACTCCATTAGGTTCTTCAGCTTCTCCCAGAGCAGTGTACCTTCGACCATCACAGCTGGCACTTGGAAGCAGTGAGCCTCCACAGCAAAGGACATTTCAGTGTAGATTGCCCTTGAAACCACCATCTCTTGCAAATACCTTTACTAGAGGCAAGTTGATTGTATAATGTGAAGATACCACAAAATTCATATTCATTGCTAATCTGATTGAGTGGCATGTAGGACGAATATGTATGCATATCCATATTTTATTATTAATGTTCATGTTCAGTGACTCACTCATGAGGTAACAGTAAAGTAATTACTGCTCAGAAATGAACATGAACGTTTCTCCGGAATGTCAGTGAACTTCTAGCACACTGCACGACGTTATGTCCCAGAAGGCAGACCGTGTCACTGGTGTTTACCCTGAGCCAGATGTATCCAGTCCATGCTTTCCCATCCTATTTCTTTAATATTCATTATAATATTATTCTGCCATCTGTGCCTGTGTCTTACAAGTAATCTCTTTGATTCAGCTTTTCCAACTGATACTGTATGGATTTCTCTTCTCTGCCAATGTGCTGTAGGCACTACTCATTGTCCTTGATTTGAGCATCCTAATATGTAGAAGTACAAATTGTGATGCTCCTCACAATGCAGTTTTCTGTTTCTTCCTGTGATAAGGACTATTATGTTACCTAATTTTATTTTATTTTGAAAATACTGCATTTTAGCACTGTCTACTTATGGGCGAATTTATGGAAGTGTGGTAAATCTTGTGATTAATTTTTGGTACTTTTGCATTATTACACTTGTGCAGAGGTTAAAGATGACTTATGAATTTGATTATATTTAGATTAGGCTTGCATTTCAGTACGAATTACTGCTTTCCATATAGTAGTCACATCAAAACAATTCACTTGAAAGTGATCTGGAAGTCTGGGGGCTTTTTCTTTTGGGTTCTGATGCCATGTAGTAGTGGACAATATTTGTTTAATATGTTATGCTGTATGTGATATTTAATTTATTCGTAAATATTCCCAAAATATATATGAGACTTCAATGGGAAAGTGATAGTGCTGATAAAAATTTTCTCCACTTTATGTTACAGTACCCCAAGACAGTGTGATGACTTCCTCAAGTGATGGAGTTAAGGCTGAGGATAATTCATCATTCATATCAGAGGAAGTTGGAATCTGTGGCAATAGTAATTCACCAGAAATGCATAGCACAAACAGCATTACAGAAACAGTAAGGCATGAAGATGACACAAAGGCTGCAGTAGAATCTGATTCACAGCAGGCGGATGAAGACAGCAGTAATAGCGGCAGTGTTAGTAACTGTGGATCTCAGAGAAGTGTCAGAGCAATTATGACCCCTCCAAAGTTTGTGCCACTTGGAACACCATCGCACCCTACAGAAGAAAGGTAAGATCTTCAGCTACAATAAAAGTGTGTCATACTGTAATTGGGACTCATAACAACATAAAAAACTAGTATTAGTGCACATTATATATATTATGCCTGAAAATGTAAGACACTCCGAAAATCAAACAGTGAATACTTGTGGTTATCTCATTCTAACTTGTGAAAATGAGAAAAATCTTACAAGGAAATTAATGTTAATTATGTAATACTTTCTCTGTGTTCAAATTATGTTGTCACATTTGAGTTTTATACTGAAAAGAGTGCCATGTAAGTTTAATAACTGAATATTCTTACTTTGAGTACCATGCACATGGCTGTAGGGATCATTATCTTTATGGTACCAATCATCAAACAAACATGGCAGCTGTGGATGCTGAATTGTGATTGTATTTAGTACCAAAGTTGAGTATTTTTGGTCTGTGTTTCCGTCTTCCTATTGGAGTGAGGTTTCTTGAAAAAAAATAACTCAGTACTGCTAAAACTTATGAATTCTACAATATTTCGCTGTTAGGATTGAATTTGCAGTAGATTATTGGTGATTAGCATCTGTCTGTCCATCAATTTGTCCCTCCATGTTGCTCCCACTTGGAGGATAGGACATCCATGAAACAATTCATTTCACTTCAGTACCTTAATTTTAGACAGTCAGTAGAACTCCTTGGATTGGGGATCAGCCTGGCACAAGACCACTACCTGCAGAAATGCAGAGTAAACACAGACAAACATTCATGCCTTGAGTGGGATTTGAACCCACAATTCCAGCATTCGAGTGAGCAAAGACATTTCATACTTTAGACATGCGCCACTGTGATTGATGGTGACTGGCATAATTGAATGAGAATGATTAAATAATTTGAGTTCTAAAAGAAGAATTGAATGGTCAGTTTGGTAGTTATGTTTTGCTATCACATTAGTATTGACACTATGAATGGTTTGGTAGCATCCATTTTTGTAAATGCTTCTGCCATAGATTTTCTGTTACAATTCCCATGAAAGTGAAGTGGCACAACACTGTGTAGCTGTTGCTTGCAAGTAGGAGTGACTAGAGGACTGGAAACTGAGGATCTGTCCTACGTGATTGTCTGGTATGACTGTAGTAGGCCTCTCTCTTCTATGGAGAAAAGATTAAATTTTTTCAAGTGTTACTCTACACATTCACTTGTCATTAATGCTGCTCTCTTCACAAACTGGAAAACATAACTCTTTATCCTTTTTTTCGCTCTTTTTCTCTTGCCACATCAATGATTCTGTAATGTATAATGTATGTTTACAATCCTTGTTATTGTCAGATTTTACAAATTTTGAATTTTGGTGGTTACTTTAATATTGCGTACTTGTGTTGTTTTATTTAGCCCTGTCAACATTGGTGTGGTGTTGTTATCATTCTAATTTTTATCTGCAATATTCAAAGTCCTATCATTACTATATAGTTGATATTTTTATGCATCTACGTGGTGCAATCCAAAAGTTCCCAAAATATATTAATAAAAACTATTACATCTTACCTAGATCTTATTCTGCACCATCACCATCAAAGTAGTCCCCTTGGGAGCGCATACACCGATCCCAGCGTTTCTGCCACTTTTGAAATGGATCCTGGAAGTCTTTCTTTGTTAGGGTGTTTAGTACCATCTGCATTTTCGCTTGAATTTCCTCAACTGTATCAAATCTTCGCCCCTTCAACTTGATTTTCTTCTTGGGGAAGAGAAAAAAGTCACATGGAGCTAAGTCTGGCAAGTACGGTGGGTGGGGTACAACTGCCATCTTGGGTTTAGCCAAAAATTCCTGCACAATGTAAGCCGTATGCGGTCATGCGTTGTCATGGTGGAGTACCCAGTCGTTCATGTGCCCCTTCTCTGGACGTTTTCTCCTCATGTCCTCCCTCAAACGCCTTAGAACATCGTGATAGAACTCTTTACTGACTGTCTGACCAGGCGGAACAAACTCCTAATGAAGAATCCCGTCAGTATAAAAAGAAACAGATCAACATGGACTTAATGTTGCTCTTGACTTGTCGAGCTTTTTTTTTGGCTGAGGTGAAGAAGGGCTCTTCCATTGCAACGGTTGCTGCTTACTTTCAGGTTCGTAGCCATAAACCCAACTTTCGTACCCAGTGACAACCTTCAAAAGAAAGTTTGGATCCTCTTGAAGCTGTTGCTGAAGTTCCCTGCAGACTTCCAAGCGATGCCGCTTCCATTCATTTTGCAGCAGTCATGGTACAAACTTCACCGCAATCCTCCTCATGTTCAGTTCCTCTGACAAAATTCGTTGACATGTACCATAACTTAGTCCCAAGGTGTTACAGAGGTCAGATCCCTAACTTTTGTGACATTTTCTGGTGTGGTGCCAGTTGATGGCCGCTGAACGATCGTCATCATCAGTCGATGTACAGCCATTATTGAAACATTTATACCAGTCATAAGTTTGTGTCTGGCCTAAACTGTTGTCACCAAAAGCTTGCTTCAACATTTGGTGCGTTTCTGCAGCAGTTTTCCCAAGTGTAAAACAAAACTTTATACAGACGCTGCTCTCTCAGGTCAGGCATCGCAAAACCACAAACTCACACAAACACAACAATGGAAACACGTTCATCAACAATAAACCCAACCACTCAACTCAACGCCGCTTGCCGCACTGATTCAAGAAAGGTGTGTGGGGAGACACCTAGCAGTATTTCAATGTACTCATAACTATTTACGCACAAACTTAAAATTTCGGGAATTTTTGGATTGCACCACGTATATGTTATTTTCTTTTTATATAGTGTGACATGTAGACCGATTTCTGGGCAACAGCTTGGTAAGCACATTGTGGTGGAGGCAGATTCTTTGTACACAGCTGTTGCTGAGTAATTCACATAACATCATGTGACCATAAAGGACATCCATTGCTGGGAATCTGATCAGTAAACACACTGCTATAACTGTATGCGACAGAATGAAAGGTGTTTTCCATGTGGTCCATGCTGAGGCTGTTTGCAAGGGAACTGCATGGTAACACACCTCCACAATAATAGAGGGGCTGTATATTCTGTGCTGTGTGGTTCGTGCCGAGGAAATATAAGAGAGTCGAATTTTGAAGCTAGCAGCTGTAGGAGTACGACAGAATGAGAACAAGAATGGAGCATGTCCTACTGATTTGTGAAGTGGGTAGATTAGCAATAGCGCTATAATTGATTGTGATTAAGAGTGGTTGCACAAGAAGGTGTTAACAAATCCAATCACTGAATCCAGAACCCATTATTATTAGTCACAGTATGCTGGACACATGACCATACTTATATGCCCCCTTTGTATGTATGTGTATGTTCCCATTAGTCGAGTGTTGGTGACTTTTATATGGGCATTCAGTGTGATTGTTTTTGCTTATATATCTATCTGGGAGGCATCTGTGCTGCTATCTGTTGTAAAGTTCTTGTAATGTCATTCATATGCAAGTTGTTCATACTGCTTTATTAGATGTGATATTTTTCCAAGGTATTTATATATCTGCCCTACCTTCCTGTCCTCATGACATCCATAATATCTGTTCTTGTTCCATATGTATGCTGTGTTGACACATGACCTGAATATGCAGAATTTCTGCTGTTGTTTCTGATGGTGTGAATATTCTTTCTGTTTGCCCATTGTACTTTAATGAGCAGTCTAGACATTTAATTTGATAGTTGCTGCTATGGTTGTATTTATCTCTTTGTGTATGGTGCTCTGATATATTTTTTATTTTGTTTTGTATGCGAAAGGCTACTTTTATTTGTGTGTTTTTAAAGAGCTTGGTAATTCTACATACTTTGCTGCAATATATGTAAAAATGGCCCATTTTGTGATTTGGTGCTGGGAGTCAGTGTGTTTTGTTTTTGTGGTTGTGGAAGTAGTTTTTTTTTTGTGTAGGTTTGTGTTATATTCATTATTTCGTTGTATGTCTTTAATGGTGTTTATTTCTGTTTGTTTTGCTGTTTTGGTTACTGGATATGTGTGGAATCGATTTAATAGGGAATTAATTCCATATATGTAGTTTGTGTTCATATGGATGGCAAGAGCTATTAGGTATATGACATTGGCTAGCAGACACTGTAGAATTAAATTCATATTTACTCTGTAATTAAGTATGAAATACCAGGTTTTGTCTCTGATTTTAACAACTCTTTTTTTATTTTCTTCAGTTCATGTGGAAATATGGCTTGTACAAGTGCTACCTCAACTTCTACAGCTACAACCTCCTCAGCCCCAACAGCGACAGTGACAGGATTTGTGTTTGGTCAGAATCTTCATGAAAGAGTTGTTGTAAGTGTGTAGAGAATGGTATGAGTAATCTGTTTTAGCTAGAATTCTGGGTTTGGATGTTCAGATGCAGTGCCTTCCATTTGCTGGTGATGGGAACAAATCAGTGACTTGCCTTTGATGCGAACTACTATTGTCTAAATACAAAATCACCAAAGTACAGCTTTTCAGATATCTTATTTTATTATACCTTAATTTGGAATTTTGTAAAAGTTAGTATGGAGTAAATTCAGAGAGGCAGAAAGGGAACAGTTACGGGTTTGGAGTTGCTTCAGTGCATGACAATTTGCACGTAGAAAGGAAAGCAAATACAGAGTATTAACATAAAGCCCATTGAGATTTCTGCTATGTTACACTAATTATTTTGTTGTGATCCACATTGTACATTACCTAACCCTTGAAGGGAAATTGGAAATCACTATGCTCAATATGCATACTGTCGCGTATCGGGCGTATATCGCGACAAATAACTTCACGCCATATTTTATGTAGCGACTTTTATTTCACATCCACTCTCACAATCACCCAAATTACAATCTGACGATTACTGCTATCTGCAGTATCACAATTAGTACACTGAAAAATGCCACAATACAACTGACTAGTTGCTGGCTAACTCGGCGGTAGCTCCAGGACTCGCTGACTGTCTCAGTACAACTCGGTGGCTGTCACTGTACAACTCAGTACAACTGACGTCGCCGACTGCTACAGTAGAACTGACTCGTACCAGCTGTGCAGCTCACTTATATAGCTGCAGTGCTTGCCGGTTGCGTAATGAGTGCCACGTCATCAGTAGGAAGTTGATTACGGGTACGTAGCGTTGCGCGTTACGTCACCG